TCTGGCCTGCTACACGAGTACCTTTCTCACTTTGTCACGCCTCCGCGACGTTACGTACGTCGTCAGCTCACATCTAGCGGTCATCACTTCAGAAAACCTGACGTTGTGCATGTCGCCCGTTTGAAGCCATATCCTGCTCGCGATACAGACGGACTCACCCGGTAGGCATCATCTACACCTGGGGAACTGATAGCGTACTTTAGACAAAGGGTAGCACAGAAGGAGGAAGTGTGATTGGTGTGTTGGTAGGCTAAGCCTTCCGTGCCTATGTATCACCTCTCCTTGTAAAATAAAAATCACTTGCCGTAATGATATAAACAGAACGAATAATGAAAAGCGTTCTGTGCTCTTATAGAAAACTGCTAAACTGCAGAAAAGGTAGGCGTTGGAAACATATCAGCCTAGTTGCAAAGTCTGAACTTATTTTATTTCGACATCATGGTTACATGGTGTGCTCAAACAGTTTTTCACCGGCCCCTACCCACAACCTACATAGAGTTAGCACAATTTATTTCGCGTTTTGCATCATTACTTATCAGAAGAGCGGCAAAGATGCTATTTCAGACTATAGTCTTGCGCGCATTGTCGTCGCTTCGCTGTAGACGTCGTCTTTTTTTTGTCCCTACAGAAAGAATTCCCGCCGAGCCAAATCTGGGGACCTCGCGGGCCACTCTACAGGCCCAAATCACACCATTTATATTTGAAAAAATTCTTGATGAAGCCATTTTCGGCTCCACCCGCAGCTGTGTAGTGAAGCTCCGTCTTGCTGGAACTCGAGCTTTGATAGAGAAAGGTTGCAAGCTAAGTCATTGAGTGAACCATTTATTATTTCACTGAGATAGCGTTCTGCGGTGACAGTACCGCCTTAAAACACCGGGCCGATAACTTTGCCGTTGTGAATACTGCCCCAAACACTGAAATTGACTGCACTAGGTATTCTGACTGTGACAGCCAGTGAGAATTTGTAGCAGTGCAGTAATGGCCATTGCGAACATTGACTTGGGCATTTCGCGTGAAGCTGGCTTCATCACGCCAGCTGATGTCCTTCAGGAAGCCAAGATAATCTTCTTCATGTATAAGTATGAATTTGCAGAATTATTGAGCACTTTGAAAATCTCTGTTTTCCAGCTGTTGATGCAGGTGAACATAGTATTAAGGAAGTCCTCCACACTTGAGTACAAGCCAAACACTACTGCTGAAAATGCCGGTGTCAGCACTCACATCGCACACGCTTGCGTAAGGATCTACGGCCATGCGAGCAATAATGTCTGTTTTAAGTGACTCATTCATGCCTTTTGTACGCTGACGCTGTTTTTTCAATGGGCCTGTCTTCTAATGCGTTTCGTAGTTTCCCAGCAATGTCGAACAATTTATCCGATATCCTGGGTAGCTGCTGCAATATAATCTTGCGCACCTCTCTCCTGTTTCCGTTCGCTCCGCCATAATCACAAGCTCTTTCATAGTGAAACACATCAATCCAAACTCAGACTTTCCACTGTAAAATCGTGTCCAAAATGATATGTTTGATCCTTCTTATTTGAAATTGGTATCGCACGCAAGTAAAACGCGCCTTCAGAGAGGCAGCTGAATCTTTATTTTACGTTGTTTCTGCACAAGAATGATAAAATTAATGCTAGAGCAACATATCGTAATGTCGTGCGAAGAACCCTAAGACGCTCAAAGCTTAAGCAAAAAGCACACATGACATGAGCACACAGGCTGAGCGTAGACAAACAACCGCCACAACTCGACAAATTAAATACGCTGGAAAAACAGAAATAAAGACGCGTCAAACTAATGCACGAGTAATCACCTGCACGAGCGCGAACTGTCACAATTCTTACTTCGTGTATGTGCAGCGCGCTTCTTTCATAAACGCGACCACGACATCGAGCGAAGTGACCTTCGTGCTCTTTTTAACCGCTGTACCTTCTAAGCAAGCTGGCGGTGGGAGCACAAGATGTAGGACCCACGAATTCCGAGATAAGAAGGCGTGAGAGCGACCATGCCTGAGAACTTCTACAAGAATTTCACCACGCCATGTGGAGGCGCGCACGCATTGCAACCCGTGGGGTGAGGCGGGGCTGCCACATTTAGAGCACGCGCGCCCAACACGGTAATTTCACGCCCTTGATAGGTGGTTTGAGAAGCAACAGGTCACTGTTCGGACATCCTGCTAACGAACTTTATTTTCTAGTTTATTTTTATTTGTAATTTGCTCATAGATCTTTCACAACGTCATATTCGTGATGACAATACGTCAGCTGAGCCAAGGTGAACCATGGCATTAGGCACTTTCGCGTTAAAAAGGCACACTACAAACTCCTATCGTGCTTTTTATATCCTTTTTCTATCACACTGTCACTCTCTCCCCATTTACATGTTTAACGTTGGCCTGAACGGAAAAAAAACCTTACGCTACGCCGAACGCTGCCTCCGGTGTTGCATCGCATCGCATTGTCCAAGCTTATTTACTTCGATTCTTTCTTTTTTTTTGAAAGGCATTATGCAATCATCGCTGAAAGGCAATTCCTGCGATTTTTGTTTTGCCATGTGAAGGTTCTGATTTTTTATGTTCCCGAGACGCTCTTGTCCTGGCACCCGATAGCTGAAACTGCCCAACTACTTCGAAATATCTATAAATAGAAAAAATGTAATACCAAAACCGAAACCAAACCAACTATGCATTTACGTATGACGTAATTCCTTGCTACAAACTTAATAGGCCACAGGCCCTTAGGCTCAGAAGGCTGTAGAAGGACACGTACTTTTAACTCGAGCTCCCTCATGCTATTTATTGTGACGTCGTCCTCGATGACGCTTGCCCCGCATGTGGGGCCGTATCCAAGCTGGTGCACGTGCTCTCGGAGCGCTAGGCGATGTACGCTAAACCCGACACTACTTCGGTCAGGTGGGAGGCAGCCCTAGCAGCCGCCTCCTGGCTGGCACACTTTGGGCCGTCCAGCAGGTCCACGTAGTGAACGAAAGGCTTGGCCTAACGGTCCCGACGTGGGAGCCGTCCGCTGCCACAATAAAGTTTCGGAACCGACTGAACAACCCGCCTGCTTGCGCATACCGCTGTCGAATGGCATTACCTGTCCAGGCCGTCCAAGTTTGTGCCTGCGCAGGCCGGCTAATATGCGTACTCGTTTAGGGTGAATATATGGATAACCGTGTGCGGCCCACATCACAAGACCACTGCTACCCATCGCACGCTCATCAACACGCTAAAAGAAAACGCACACCCAAACAACGAAGCACCTGCCAAATCCATAGAATCCAGGGCATACAAGCAGATGCTCCACTAAAACAACAGTTCTTCAACGTTCGCTTTTCAAAAGTAAATATCACACACATTGTGACATCACCATTTCGCGTGAGTGAGTCAAGCGAGGTGAGCGTTTGGAGGCAAGTAATAAAAGTTATTTAAAGAGAAATTGCGAAATACTCATGCCTGCAATCTGGCATGAACGATGCCAACCTTCAAACGAACAAAACGTAGTGAATTTTATTGAGATCCCCGAACCACAACAAATTGCCAGAACTGGCTTTTAACGTCGATCGTAGCCTCTTAAAGAGACTTTAGTACGTGAGAAGCCCTTGCTCATTTGTTAAAGTTGAATTTCAGGGCAATAAAGCACAGCGCGTCGAGCGGCAACCACGCGGTAATTTTTTACTTTGCGTGCTTCACAAAAACGTTTGAAATAAATTAGGCGGCGTCAATATCTACACTAAATTGCAAACTCTGTTATTTTGGCACTCAGTTTTGTGTTGATTTTGTTTCTGTAAAGCAAGTGTTTAAAACATTCATGAGGCTGTTTTTGTTACTGAGCGGGCTTGGCTGGTCAAAAATTATATTCTGACACGCAACATAGAACTACGAACGAGAAGCGTAGGGCTTATTTTATAACTACTATTTTTTGGTGGTTTTTAGGGGAAACACCCTGTATTGATTGGTTCATTAAATTAGCCATGCGATAAATGGCAAGGTAAAGCACGCCACAGGGAAAATGAAACAAAATTGACAGAAAATGGCGCTAAACATGAATGAAGACTACACGAAGAGACAGAAAAAATAACACGTACCCATTTGATTTCTTACAAATATATATAATATTCTTACTTGCCAAGAACTATGCCTGTTGCATTACGCTGGCAGGAATCTACCAGTAGAGCCAAGCCTAAGTCTCCGTGTTGTTTTATGCTCACTACTGTTGCACGTGCGAGCTCTTGGCAGAATTTTTTCGAAACTAAGGCAATTGAGTTGCGCATCTTGCCGCTATTTTCTATAAAATAAAAATAAAAAGCACCATGCTTTTCGTTTGGGCGTCCTAATATTACTCCTAAGTTTTATTTACTTATCAAGACACAAATTACCAAACTGTACATATCACGTCACATAGTTATCCCAGTATCACATGCTATTGTGGAGGGGGGTACTTTTTTGGGGAACACAGATGTCCAAGTAGAAGAGAGATGTCAGAGAACTCACAGCCACGTAGGGCCATTATTTGTCATGCATCATCCCGTAGTCTTCTGCTTCGGGCGCACGCCCGTAAGACAAAGGGCATGCGGCGTTTAGCTTGAATATGAGCCTCTTTTTATGGCTTATACTTTTCCATATTTCAGCAAGCATGATAGTAATCAATAATATTGTAAGCCACATAGGTGCAATGGTGCGCTTGAACCCTCTACGTGCCCTGCACACCATACGTTTACCGCGGACACGTATAGCGGGTCCAAACTCACTCGCCCAGGAAATCTTTTTTTCTTCGATTCCCAGTGCGTGTATTACGCTGATCAGCTCAAAATTTTCAGACCTGGTGGCAGCCCTTTCTGTAAATGCGGGTGCCTGCGAAATGCTTCATGCCCAGGGGAAAATATTCCAAATTGTAGGGCATCGTGTTTTTTCATCCCATTTGTTAAACATCATACCGGATAAGAACAAAAAAATGGCAATTTCACATTTAGAAAGACTGCGTAACTCGGTTTGCGCTCACCTGGTATGCATTCACTGCCTCCTAGAGCTACAATGTAGGCGTCCGCGCATTGGCACCAGCCACGCAAACAAACCGCAAATTGCGTGAACCAGCGGCACTGGCTGTCATCATCGCAGCTGTCACCGAGGTGTGATCCTGCGCAGAGAAGGACTATAACAGTTGCAGAATAGTTTCCAGTAACAGAGATGATTTGATAATAGGACATTCAAACGTGAGGACTGTTTGGACGGCAGAAATTATATTAACGTGTACTTTTTTTCATTACACGCCCCCGTGGTCTCAAGGTCGACCCGCAGGTTGCGGAATGGAATCCCAATCGTGGCGGGCGCAATTTCAAGGCAGGTGAAATTGCATGAGTACTATGTACTTACAATTAGGTGTACGTTAAAGAGGCCAGCACCTAAATTTTCTTAATATATTTTCTTACTAAATCACAGACATATTTCCCGGATAGCTGCAGTTTTGATCCCAAAAGCCCTTTTTTTCGAGATTAGTGAAAGCTGTCGTACTTCTGCTTTTGAAGGAGTAGCTGTGACTATACCCTTAACTACCTTTATTTTGATTTATTCAGCTATTTTCAGAAATAACAAGCAGTTACAATGAGATTATGTGTCACTATACAACTTCTCTGTATTTCTACTGCAATGAGTACGCCAACGCCAAAAGTGGTCTGTGCCTGTTTCATGGGTGGTTATTCCTGGCCTCGTTACTCTATACACCAGCCAAGCCAAGTCATCGAAATTCCACTATACTTATGCACGGCTGTAATGAGTAGCAGTATACGTCACTTCTAGGACAAAGTGGCGTGTAAGGTTTCATGAGCACGCTTAAAACTTGGTCTAGAGGCGCTCATAAGCAGATCATCACCTGACGTGAAGGCAGTGCCGATTTAATTCATAGTACTAACAGAGACCTATATGTGTATTATGGAGTCTTGGTTTGGAAGACCTTTATTAGGCCCGAAGAACCGGCAGCCGACAGCTGAGATGATCGGACCAAGATGATGATGCTACGCGACAACGATGGGGATGCATGAGCCACACATGATAATGATGATAATGTACCGGTGAAGAGGATGCGTATACTAAATGCCCACATCAATTCCCCCCACGTGAAAGCGGCCAGCCTGGCCGCGGCAAGTCAAGGGGACAAAGAACGTCGCATGAAGGGCTTCATACGGGAGACATGGACGACCTCTGTAGTTCGATAACGGCGATCTGCTGGGGCTACAAGTGGCGTCACGCGATAATTCACTGGTGAAGTCTCTTCAAGAACTGTGTACGGTCCAATAAACCGAGGCTGAAATTTGTCGCACAAACCAGGTGTGCGAACAGGCGTCAAAAGGAGCACTTCGTCTCCAGGTTGGAAGAATACATCACGATGCGATTCATCATAAACTAGCTTTCTGTCTTCCTGGCGGGCTTCAGTGTTTATACGAGCTCGTTGGCGGCACTGTGCGAGTCGTGAAACGTATTCCTCTGAAGAGGATGGAGATGAATTCACTTGGCAGGTAAAGAAGGAGACGTCCAGGAAAGTAGTAGGGGAGCGTCCATAAACTAGGTAAAATGGCGAGTAGCCGGTTGTTCGCTGAATGGCCGTATTGTAGGCGAAAGTGACGAATGGGAGAACAACGTCCCAGTTTTTGTGGTCTGGTTGAATATAGGCGGCGATCATGTCTGCAAGAGTGCGGTGGAATCGCTCAGTGAGGCCGTTAGTCTGGGGATGATAACTAGAGGCAGTCTTGTGAGTTGTGCCGGAGGCCTGAAGAAGTTCGTTCACTAGTTGTGAAAGGAAGGCCCTTCCACGGTCACTGAGCAACACACGTGGAGCACCATGACGCAGTATAATGGCTCGGAGGATGAAATCGGCAATCTCAGAAGCTGAACCTGTAGTAACGGATGCCGTCTCGGCGTAGCGCGTCAAATGGTCAATGGCTGTTACTATCCACCGGTTTCCAGCAGCACTGACTGGGAGGGGGCCATAAAGATCGACGCCTACAACTTCGAATGGTGTGGCTGGGCACGGAAGAGGCTGTAGTTTACCGGCGGGAGCAGATGTTGGTAGTTTTCTACATTGGCAGGTAGTGCAGGACCCGACGTACCGAGCTACGCTAGTGGTAATGCCTGGCCAATAAAACCGACTTCGAAGGCGATCGTAGGTTTTATGGTAACCAAGGTGACCAGCAGTCGGATGGTCATGAAGTGCCCTGAGGACTTCGGACCGAAGCGATCGGGGTAGAACGGGAACCCAGCGCTGACCGTCAGGATGGTAAATTTTGCGGTACAGCACCGAGTTGTCCAGCTTAAATTGCGAGAGCTGGCGACGCAGCCTTGCATTAGGTGGACGGGAACTGCCAGTGAGGTAGTCTATAATACGTCGACAGTATGGGTCAGCCAACTGTCGAGAAGGAAAATCGTGCGGGTCGTCCGAAGGCAGCTGGTCCATAGAGGCGAGAGAGGAAACCGCCGTAGACGTGGACTCCGAGGGCGTGTTGTGCAAATTGACGGCTGAAACCCCGAGTGGAGTCGCTGGTAGTGGGCAGCGAGAAAGAGCATCGGCGTCACTATGCTTCCTGCCACACTTGTACACGATCTCAAAATCATATTCTTGGAGGCGTAGAATCCAGCGTCCGAGGCGTCCCGACAAGTTCTTGAGTGTCGAAAGCCAACATAAAGCATGGTGGTCGGTCACAATGGTGAAATGGCGGCCATGCAGGTATGGACGAAATTTCTGTACTGACCAAACGATGGCGAGGCACTCCTGCTCGGTGATCGTGTAGTTCCTCTCGGCTGCGGAGAGGACGCGGCTGGCGTATGCAACGACTCGCTCTCGCGAAGAGTTGTCGCGTTGCAGGAGCACGGCTCCTAAACCGCGGCCGCTAGCGTCTGTGTGCAGGAAGGTCGGTGCATCATCGTGAAAATGAGCAAGTACAGGGTCGGTCGTGAGGGCACTCTTCAACCTGTCGAAAGCTGATTCACATTCCTGAGACCACTGAAAGGGCATACCGGAAGCAAGTAGCTTATGAAGTGGTGCGGCTATGGAGGCAAAGTTTTGTATGAATCGCCGAAAGTAAGAGGCGAGACCAAGGAAACTTCGCAAATCTTTTGGTTTGTCAGGGCGAGGGAAGCGAAGGACTGCAGCAGTTTTATCAGGGTCTGGGCGAATTCCGTCCTTGCTTACAATATGACCGAGTACCTTGATAGATCTGCTGGCGAAATGGCACTTTTTGGTGTTAATTTGAAGACCAGCGCCCGCAAGACAAGTCAGGACCTCGTCCAAGCGTTGCAAATGTTGAGAAAACGTCGATGAAAAGACAACAATGTCATCGAGGTAACATAGGCAAGTCTTCCATTTCAGGCCACGCAGCACGGTGTCAATCATGCGCTCAAAAGTTGCGGGCGCATTGCATAGACCGAACGGCATAACATTGAATTCGTATAGGCCGTCCGGCGTTGCAAACGCAGTTTTTTCTTTATCATCTTCGTGCATGGGGATTTGCCAATAGCCTGAACGCAAGTCGAGGCTCGAAAAGTATTCAGCACCCTGTAAGGAATCTAGGGCGTCGTCGATGCGTGGCATGGGGTATACGTCCTTTCTAGTGATCTTATTGAGTGCTCGGTAATCGACGCAAAATCGTACGGAACCGTCTTTTTTACGCACCAAAACCACTGGAGACGACCAAGGACTGGTTGAGGGTCGGATTATCTCCCGTTGCAGCATATCGTCTACGTTTTCCTCAATGATTTTTCGTTCGGCTAGGGAGACGCGGTACGGACGACGATGCACAATGGATGTTCCGTCAGTCTGAATACGATGTGCTGTAGCAGTTGTCTGACCCAGGCTGGATGAATGAACGTCAAAAGAGTTTGCATGCTTTTGCAACAAATCAAGCAGCTGCTGCTTCTGCAAGTCTGTCAAGTCCTTGTTGATGGCTGCTGTAAAGGCCGAGGAAGCAGCATGATCTCCAGGATGGCCTTTAGAGGAGGCAGGGGTAAGAGGCACGACGCACACAGGCTCCAGATCGGCAACGCAGGCGACAGTAGTGCCCCGTGGCAGTAAAATTTTATCTGGTGTGGTGTTCGTAGCAGCGAGGACAGCTGATCCATCGTTGAAGCGAGCCACACCTGATGCCAGAGCTATGCCTTTATTAAGGCAATACGGTGACGGAGTGACCAAAATGTCACCAGAGTCGACGTCGTTGGACAAAACTGTCACTAATTGATGTTCGTTTGGTGGTAACTCGATGTCTACTGCAGCGATGAGTCGAAGTGGCCTGTAGGTTTCGTCGTTGAGCAAGTGGTCCGTGTCAGTAAGATGGACGACACGTTGTGCACAGCAAATAGCCGCAGAAGCAGAGGAAAGAAAGTCCCAGCCTAAAATGAGTTCATGGGAGCACGGGGATAGCACAGCAAATTTTATATGATGAAGAATTTCGTCGATTAGTACACGGGCAGTACAGAGAGCGGAAGGGCGAATCATTGTTCCCTGGGCTGTAACCAGTGTCGGTCCATCATAAGGCGTCGTGACTTTTCGAAGACGGGCACACAAATCAGCACGAATAACAGAAAACGCAGCCCCAGTGTCCACCAAAGCATCAACGTCCACTCCCTCAACTGTGACCGCAATCATATTGTAGGGGCGCGCTGGAGGAATTGGAGTCTTGTGTTGGAATGCAGTTTGTCCTCCAAAAACTGCATCGCTTAGTTTTCCGGACGCCGATCAGAAGTAAGGAAAGCGGGCTGAAGAGGAGAAGAAGAGCGACGGTAAGGCGACGGTGAACGGCGTCGGGTTGATCGGTGACTACTGCGCAGTTCACCCGATGCTGGCGGAGATGGAGACTGACGCGGCGGTGACGAATAACGGCGACCCTGGTACAAGGCTCCTGCGGTATAGTCCCGTTCGCGTATGTCATACCCTCGGCGCTCGTCTTGCTGGCGCTTGCGGCAAAAGCGTGCAATGTGACCGCGATAGCCGCAATAATAGCACGTAGGCCGAGTCGATCGATGAGGAGTGTAGTAGCTTGCGCTAACTGCACCAGGAGAGAGAGAAGTCAGAGGGACAGGTGACGGCTCACGCGGTGGTGATGAAAAGCTCGTGGGAAAGCTTGTGGGAGGTGCGGCAGCAACCGACGCGTA